CCCTGCTGGGGCCCTGACCTTGGTGGTCCATTGGCATTTGCTTGAGAGGTTTGCTCCAAAACTCAGATTAAATACAGACCTGCCTTAAATTCAATTCTGGCCTCAAAAAAGGTTTTTTTTCCCCCTCCGGGAAAATTTTGCCAGATAGTTTTTCCTGATTAAATTTAAAATATTTATTTATTTTAGCAGGGCACACAATACTTTTACACAACATACTCAGTAATAACCAACACTATGTTGGCACTTACATGCTGGCATTTCCCTAAGTGCATCATATCCCTGACCATAGTGACCTAGTTGCCTGCTCTGTCACTAATTGTGGTTTCCTCTACCAAAACCAGATCATCCAAATCCTGATCTAGGAACAAGACAGGAGGAAAGCACTTCTCATTGACACAGAAGGTAGATTCTGGTCTTCCCTGGGGCAACTGATCAGCTCTGTGACCTCGAGCAAATCACATAGCTTCACAGAACTTTCTTGAAGTAGACTTCGTGTTCTAGTTCATGACCTCACATGGGTGTGAGGGTCATGAGACAATGTGTGGAAGAGGTTCTGTGGATGCTAAGAGCTGTCCGAATGGAAGCTTGACCATTAAGACCTTGAACCTTCTCCCACAGTCTCCCTGGCTAAGGATGGGAGGAGCCTTTCACACTAGAATGGCACAGTTGGACTGTGGAAGCCAAGGGACCCCAGTCGGGGTCCATCTGCAGTGGGTGGGCTCTGTTTATTGGTTGGGGACAAGTGGAATTTTGAAGTCAGCTGGATTCTTCTCATAATCCTGCTCCTTAGTAGTGACGACTCAGAAATTTGTTTAGCCACTTGTAGTTTGAACATAAGGATGTCCACTGTGGGGGGCAAGAGGCAGTGCACAACGGGGCCTGATGAATGTTTTCTCCTCCTTCCCCCTAAGTTCGAGGTTAGGGCCTGAAGTTGTTCTCAGCTGAGGAGATGCGTTAACCACCTGCCCCCAAATCCTCTCATTGGTTGCACATTTATTGAGGAAGGACCTATTGTGTGTCAACCACTGAAGTAGAGATCAGGAGTTTGGACCTAGATAACACTTCAGGATACACACATAAGCACGTAAGCACTTTTGTCCAAGCCAGTGAGGAGATCAACAGGTACTGGGGAAGAACAAGAATGCTGGAGTCACCCAGAGCTGACCTTTCACTCTGGGTCCACTGTGTGGCCTCATCTAACTCTCAGATCCTCAGATGTTTCATCAATAACATGAAGGCTAATCATATTCTACTTCCAGCTTCATTGTGAAAGTCAGGAAGTAAAGAGCCTGCACATAGTAGGTGCACAGTTATGGTAAGAAACAAGACCTGTGTCGAGTGCTCATGGTGAGTAAGGTATAAACAAAGTGGATGGGATTCCTCCTGCCTCTTGACTCATCTCATTGCCTCGTCTTATCTCCTGCCACCCCATTTTCTTTTCTCTCTCTTTCCTCTTTCCCCTCCTCTTTCCTTTTCTGCCTCTTGACCTTTCTCTTCCTTTTCCTCTAACTAGATGGGAAATGTCTACCCCTCTATTCAGCTAACAGTTGTACCATGAAATTGACAAACATTTATTCTGAATAGCTATTATGTCCTGCTGTCAATTTTAAAAGTACATGGCCAGAATTTATTACACTCAATTTAAGTTTCATTTGTGTGTATGTGTGGGTGTGTGTGGGTGTGTGTGTATCCAATTTATCCTCACAGATGAGTACCCAACGATGGACCACCATAGCACCATAGCGCGGATCCAGACTTAATTATCTAGACTTAACTCTTATTTTCCAGCATGCAGAGTGTGGAGGGCTGTGTGTGTGTGCTGGAGTCCCCCGTGCCCTAGTGCTGCTGCTTGGTTGGCCTTCAGTGTGTTCTGGGGGCGATATCAGCCAGAGATGGGGAGAGATGAGCTGAGCAGCATGAAGGTCAGAGGCTTGGGGCCTAGGAGCTCTAACCAGCTCAGTCTCCCCCCTAGGCCTCTGCCTTTCTGACCCAGGAGTGAGGGACTCAACAGGGCCCTGGGCTGGTTTCCATCCAAGGGCCCACCAGACCATCATCTCTGACCTTGAGACTGAAAGCTGAGTCCCACTTTCTAGTGGCTGTGTATGGAGTATGGACGTTCCAAAGTGGACCTTCCAAGAGGGCCTCAATCCATGTCACTCCCACAGCCATAGAGCATGGTCCTTTTCCCATGGTCTCAAGGATACCACCCACTCCCACCAGCAAGGCCTCTGTGATCCTGATCATAACCACCTGCTACCCAGCCCAGTTTCTGTGGAGGAAGGAAGCAGCAATTCTTGCTCACTGGGAAACCATGAGGCCACCTTACCTGTGACCTTCAGATCCCCCATAACCATACAAACTACATGGAACCTGGTACCCATGCTAGGTTCAAATCCAAGCCTGGGCTGACAATTGTTAAGCATAAGAAGTCCCTCAAAACTGGTAGCTGGTTCCTGAGGTCCTGGCTGGACAGATAGAACTTCGCTCCTGTAACATTTAAACGGCTAATCCTTCTGAAAAATGCTCCCTTTTATGTACTCCCTTGTTAAATTGGAGGACTGCGAATACAAATGTGATCATCCTGGGAAATGACAACATGCCAGGCCTTAGGAGTTAGGTTATCAGTTGGAGACTCCCAGAAAAATCCATCCCCAAATGATAAAACAGATCTATTTCCAGAAAGTTCTCAGTACTTGTTGTGCTATATGCACAGGCACAAAGAGATGGGGGACTCTGCTCACAATAACAACAACTCCTCCTCCTCCTTTTCTTCCTCCTCCTCCTCCTCCTCCTCCTCTTCTTCTTCTTCTTCATAATATGGACTTTTTTTCTTTAGTTGGAGATAGACTCAATATTTTGATTTTATTTATTTATTTTTATGTGGTGCTGAGGATGGAACCCAGTGCTTCATGCATGTGAGGCAAGTGCTCAACCCCTGAGCTACAACCCCAGCTCCACAATTCTGACTTTTTAGCATCTTGGGCATGTGGGCTCTGGGCTTGATTTCTTTTCCTTTTTAAAATATGTGTTTACTTGTTTATTTATTTTTGCAGTACTGGGGACTGAACCTGGACCTCACATATGCTACTCTACCACTGACCTACCTCCCCAGCCCTGGAGCTTGATTTTGTTACTAGCTGAAGTCACAAAGCAGGGCTTCATCCCTCAAACTCTAGCAGGAGGCAGAGCCTTGGTAGCAAAAAAGAAGTTCTGAAAAGTGGGCCCAAGGCCAGCACAGCCTCCCTTGTGGAGCTGATGTGGTCTTTGTAGTTCTTTGTCTGGGAGCCAGATGGGTCCCCAAGTCTGGTTAGAGCAGATCTGGCCCTGGAAGTAGGAGCCTCCGGGGCTGGGACTGTAGGCAGGTCTACATGTAAGGAGCCAGGAGCCCCATTCCAGGTTGACTTGGTACTGCTTGTCCTCCTCCCCCTGAGCCTTGGTCCATTTCTCAGGATCCAAGGTGCCATGAGCCATCCTGACTCTTCACTCAGAGCACAAGGAGAGTAAATAGGGAGGTCTATCATGTAGAGGCTACGATCTCATGACATCCAGCAGACAGCTGATGCTTCAGGAATATGGCTGTCCTGTATAGACAAAAAAATGTGACTTATGAAAGGCCACACATCTGAGACGTGTTGGATCTGTCTGACCCTACAGTGCATGCTCTTTCCACTGTCCAGTATTGCCTTCCTATCTGTACCCTTCCCAAGCAGTCAAGGGCTTTCAACAAAACATGTCTCCTTTCCTTCCCTGGGCTTTTGGAACCAACCCCCAACCCACCCTCTGAACTTTTGTCAGGACAGAGCTTGGTCCAGCCAGACCCATGATTGTCTGTGCATTAGAAATCTCCACCAGGATAAACAGATTGGCCAGTCCTGCTTGAAGGCCAGTAGAGGCCACCAGGCCACCTTTATCACCATCCTACAGGGAGAAATCACAGTTGTCACCCCCCACCCACCCTGCTACCTGGGAAGGGAGGTTGGTTTCCCTGGCGATTCTAACCTTGCCCTTTCTGCCAAAGGTACACATTTAACCAGAGGAGGAGACTGTGCTGTGAGGACTCCCTAAAGTGAGGCTGGACCTCCTCTTTCCAAGGGGGTGGGGAGAGGAAAGAGGCACCTCACGTTTAGCTTCAGTCCTTGTAATTAAAAGGAGGTTTGAACTCTTATTAGCCCTGGCTGTGTGACCTTGGGCAGGCGACTCAAGCTCTCCACACTTGAGCATGCAGTTCGCACCATTGCAAAGAGGGTGGAACCGAACTCATACTCAAGGAGGCCTCGGGTGGAAAACAGCACCTTCTCTGGTACAATAGCATCTCGCAGTGTCATTGTCCCCCCTTCCCCCCACCCCCTGCCCCGCCCCGCTCTGCTGCCCCACTGCACACTGATTGAGATTTCCATGCTCTCCCGGCTGGGGCCCAGGCCGAGTTGGCTGTGCCCTCTCCTCTGTCCTTGATCTTCTCGAGGGCCTTTCTGCTGCTCCCGGCTGCGCCGTGGACTCCAGCTCGCGGAGTCCTGCGGCTCCTGCCAGCGCCACACCCCAACCACCCCAGTCCCCTGCGGCGTTCCTGCTCCCTGCGGCCGCGGGTCGGCTGGGTGTGTCCGGACCGGAGGGTGGGAGCGGGGAGCGGCAGCTGTGCCTTTGTCAGCCAGTAATGACGCCAGCGAGGCCAGGGCCCGGGCCTGTCAGGGCCAAGCACAGGAAACAGGTGGACCTCGCTGACGCCCCGACGGGGCGGGCGGGGGAGGCGCACGCGGGCGTTGGGAGGCGCTGGGGGAACAGAAGGGGACCGGCTCGCCTTGGGTGTCCCGGCTGGGGAGTGCAGAGGCTCTCTGCTGTCTCTGCGGTGGCGTTGGTTGGGGGCGAGGCAATCGCGGATCACCACCATCCGCCTCTCTGTTCCCCTCTGTTAGGGTGCTAGAGTACCCGACAAGCTGCGGTGACAAGAAGACCCCCACGACAATAGTGTGAAAAGGTCTGATTTTAATTCTCTCTCACACAGTCTGCTGCCTACCGCGGTTATTCTGGAATACCGTTTTCTTCCACCCTGTGGTTCTTCCACCTGCAAAGATGTCTGGAACAGGTCTGGCCAGAACTCAGGGGCTCACTACACCTGCATAGGAAAAATTCCCATCAAGATCTACCTAAAATTTGGCATGATCTTTATAAGACAGCAGGTCACACACAGGAATGTGGGTAGTACCTGTGATCCCGGCTCCCACAGATATCAGTTATTTTCTTATCACCTTTAGATTCTGCAGATATTGTGAAATCTTGTTCACCATTACTTTGAAAGTTGGGTAGTTATCAGATCTGTGGCTAGATTGTCCTTTAATGCATCAATAAGGAAATATATATGATTAGATCATAATTCTTTAATATTTTATTAAATTTAAAATTTATGATTCTTTAATATTTTGATAGTTCACCATGGTTGTTTTCCTATGTAATCTTATGGTTTTGCTCCATGAACTTAAGAACCATATTCTGAGAGGGGCCATAGACTTGAAGAGACAACCAAAGGGGTCCATGAAAAAGCCAAGAAACCCTGCCCAGGGTGTTGCACCAGTGGCCGCAGCCTGACCACGGGCATGTGGACATTCTAGGAGGGGAGCAGGCTGCAGGTGCAGGGTAAACAAATTCCCTTTATGCCAGTGGTGTGGAACTTGCAGACTTCACTTTTGTTAGGTCCCACTGCTTGAACTTAGTCACATGGCTACACCCAGTTACAAGAGAGTCTGGGAAATATGGTTTTTACCTGGGCACGAAGGTACTCAGAAAAATTCTTACAGAAGAAGGGGAAAAAATGATTTGGGGGCCAACTAGCAGCCTGCTCCAATCCCAAAATTTTATTGTGCCACCAAGACCCACGATCCTTGAACTCATCTCTTCTTTTTAGTAACCCTCCCAATACCTCATGGCTTCACCTCTCACCTTGTTTAGAAGCCACAACTTGGCTCTTGTCAGTCTCTTACTACACCATCAATACCCTTTGCAAGGCCTCACCCTCTTTCCTGTGTTCTACATCCCAGACCCACTCACTCATTCAAGCCAGTCACCCTGGCCTATCTCTTGTCTCTCTCCTGTGTCATCAGTGTCTCTCTATGGAATCATTCAACATGGAGTATTTCTCCCTCACCAGAAACCTTCTCTTGCTGGTTGCCTGTAATCCCAGCAGTTCAGGAGGCTGAGGCAGGAGGATCATGAGTTCAAAGGCAGCCTCAGCAATTTAGTGAAGCCCTAGGCAACTTAGCCAGACCCTGTCTTTAAATAAAACAAAAAAGGGCTGGGATGTAGCTTAGCAGTTAGGCAACTCTGGGTTCAATCTCTGGTACAAAAAAAAAAAAAGGAAGAAAAGAAAAGAAATCTCTTGACCTTGCTTACCTCACCAACTCTTGTCCCCTTCTTTGTGCCTATGTGGCAAAACTCTGCAGAAGAATTGTCTGTCCTTCTACCTTGAACTCCTTTCCTCTGCTTCAACCCACTCCAACCAGACACACACCCACATTAATCCATAGAAATTTCTACTGATAAGGTCATCAAGGCCTTCTTGCTGTTGAGAACTCTTCTCTCAGCTTTCCTGACCCATCAGCAGCAGCTGACCCTAATCATGTCCTCTTCCTGGACACACTGGCTTTCCCAGCTACCAGGACACTATGCCACACCCCCCACTCTCCCTTTCACTTCGATGGCTGCTCCTTCTCTGTTCCATCTCTCCGACCTCTGGCCAGCCACGGAGGTCAGTCCTTGCCTCTTTTCAGTCTATAAGCCTTGGAGCTGATCTCATTCTCTGCCTTGAATACCCCCAGGGATGGAAGACTCCCACCTTTATTTCTCCAGACTCAGCCTCTCTCCGGAAGCCCAGTCTCATGACCCAGCTGCTTACTTGACCTCAAGAAATTTCTCAAGCTTAACATGTCATACTCAAAATCCTCACCCTCCCCACTAAATCTTCTCCCCTGGGCATTCCTGTTTTTCTGACTTAGGCCAGAATCCTCAAAGCCATTCTTACTCCATTCTTTCCCTCACATTCCACTTCCCATGATCTTTATCTTCAAAATCACCTGGAGATATGGCACTCCTCACTCCACCATAGCTACTAACCTTGTCCATGTTGAAATCTTCTCCCGTCTGGATTCTTCACATAGTTTGAAACTGTTCTTTCCAGTTCTACTCTTGCCCTCTATAATTTATTCTCAACTTGGCAGTCAGAGGGATCCTTTTAAAATGAAAGTTGGATTGGGTCACTTTGCTCTCCACTCTCTAATGGCTCAGCTCGAATCTCTCTCTGAGTGAAGTCCAAATTTGCCACAATGGCTCACAGATCCTGTATCATCTGGCCCCTGTCACTTGGCTGACCCTCTCTCTTCAATCACAATAGGTGACCTTGCTCTTCCCTCCACTCATGGGGAACACTCCTGCCACGGGGCCTTTGGACTTGAGTTTCCTCTCCCTGGAAGGCCTTCCCTAGACAGCCACATGGCTCACACCCTGGTCTTCTTCAAGACTTTGCTCAAACATCCCTTTCTCCATGAGCCCCACTTTACCCAAAGACCTGGTCCTCCTTCCCTGACTTATTTTTCTCCATAACATATATCACCACTACCTGTCAGGCGATGAGATTATTTTGTTACCGTCTATTTCCCCTCTATAGTGTACAGCCTCCTTGGGACAGGGATATTAGTCTGTTTTATTCTCTTCTGGTTCCTAGTATAGTCATAACAATGTTTTGGTCAACAACAGTCCACATATACAACAGTAGTCCCATAAGATTATAATGGAGCTGAAAAATTCCTATCGAGTAGTGACATTGTAACCTAGTGCAACATGTTATTCATGCTCATGGTGATACTTGGTTAAATAAATCCACTACGCTGCAAGTCATATGAAAGTATAGCACATGTAGTTATCTACACTACATGGTACTTGATAATAAACAATCTTGTTACTGGTTTATGCATTTACTATACTATATTTTATTTTTTTGGTACCAAGGATTGAACCTGGGAGTACTTAACCAGAGAGTCACATCCCCAGCCCTTTTTTTGTATTTTATTTAGAGACAGGGCCTCGCTGAGTTGCTTAGGGCCTTGCTGAGTTGCTGAGGCTGACCTTGAACTTGGGATTCTCCTGCCTCAGCCTCTTGAGCCACTGGGATTACAGGTATGCACCAACAGGCCTGGCCCTCTATATTATACTTTTTATTGTTATTTTCAAGTGCATTCTCACTTATTAAAAACATTTCTTGGGGCTGGGGATGTGGCTCAAGTGGTAGCGTGCTTGCCTGGCATGCCTGAAGCCCGGGTTCAATCCTCAGCACCACATACAAACAAAGATGTTGTGTCCGCCGAAAACTAAAATAAATAAATAAATAAATAATTCTCTCTCTCTCTCTCTCTCTCTCTCTCTCTCTCTCTCTCTCAAAAAACAAAACAAAACATTTTTTGTAAAACAGTATGTTGTGCTGTGGCCATAGCGGCCTCATGCAACTTTTTTTTTAACCGTGTCACTTGATTGCATCAAGAGGCCATGCTGAGTGACTGGCCCATGTCATCTGGGTTTGTTAAGTGCACTCCATGATGTTTGCACAACAAGGAAACTGGCTAATGATGCGTTTCTCAGGACACGCACAATTGTACTTAGAATGCACCCAGTAAATTGCTGAATGTATGAATTGCCTATTCTTTTCTGCAGCCTCACATAAGTCCCATAAGAGGGTTTCCTTTTTCTTTCTCTTTTGCACCCTGAAAACTTTCCCCAAGCATTCAGCTAAGGCAGGAGTCCAGGAGCAGGAGCATGAAATGGGAAAGCTGGTGCAGATCAAGGGCACACCACAGTGAAAGAGAGCATACGGAGTCACTCCACATATGTTTACTGAGCACCTGCTATAGGCTCACTTGTAAAGATGAATGACACCTGTCATTGAGCCTAAAAGAAGCTGAGACTACAGTAGTGGCAGATGAGCAATTAGTGATTACAGAGCTTTGTTTTCACAGGGAAGCCCTGAATTGGAGCCCCACAATTTCAACCCATCAGTAGCGGGGAAGGCCAATGTAGTGCAGACATCAAGAGCAGAATTTGGAGCAAGTTACTTGAGACCAGAGATGGGTTTACTATGAAGTTGGCAAAGCATAAGCATCCAGACCCCTCACTTGCTCCTGTTCCTTCCAAGGACCTAACTGTGCGCTCGTGAAGTCATTTTTGTTTTGCAAACTCTATGAAAGTCAGACAGTTTTATTCGTAAAGAAGGCCTCTTAAATTGGTGTCATGCCCTACAAAACCCACATCTGCCCTGTATGGACAGAGGTCAAGTGTTCAGTATCCACCTTAGCAAAAAGCCATCACTAAACAGTGGCATGGAAAAGGGGCTTTACAGCAGAGGTGTCATTTGAGCTGATCATAATAGAGAAGTAGAGGTTCACCAGGTGCCAAAGAGTTCAAGTGTCTCCCAGAATTTGCAGAGATGGCCCCATGGGCTTTGTTATGGACTTCAGGGATGTTCTGGAAAAAGAGCTATCATTTATTGATCATTTAAGATACTTTAAACACGTTTTTGGTATCAATTTATTAGATCTGCTCAAGGTCTCAAAGCCACATAAGGGGCTAGCTAGGTCTATGTCGGTGACTCTGGCAAGTTCCATTTCCAAAAATGACTCCTGTTTTTCCTCTGTGCCCCCAGTATGGCTTGTTCTGTGGCTTCCACTTCCCCAGAACCCTAATTCATTCTCAAGCATTAGCCCATCCAGGGTGGGGCTCTCCCACCCAGTCCCAGACAGCCCAATCAGTGGCCACCACCCAGGGTCACAGTGCCTGCCATACCCCAGCTCATCTAGGGTGGGGCAAAGCACTTACCAGGAAAATGCAAGCAAAACTCCCATGGAGCCACAGGACCTTCTTTTTATAAATAAAGGCTGGGATGTGACAACGTGGTGGCAGGATTCGTCTGCAGTCTCATTTCCCAGCTCCCTTAACAACCCGCTCCCCCACCCGGGAACAGCTCAGAGCATCAGTTTGCATCTGAAAATAAGAATGAAACCCGCAGGAATTGAGCCAAACAATGTGTACCAAATGAAAGTAGCTCTGTCTCGGAGGCCTGTGGCTTCTTCTGCTTCCCCTTCCCAATTTTCACTATCAGATCTCGGGGCTGCCAGAAAAATGCTGGAGGTAACTGCCCATCCTTGGACCCTTCCAAGGTGACCACGTTTGGAATGAGTCAGACAATTGCCTTTCCCTCTTGCTTGGGGCATTTAGCAGATATTGTCCATTATGCAACATCTGGGGACAAACATGTTTTCTTTTCCTCATGCCCTACACCGTAAGCTCTTGGGGACCCAGTTGAGTGGAACAGAGAACAAAGGAAACTGGAAATAACCAGAACTTCTCGCATTTGAACAGTATCCTGCAACTTAGACTGTGCCAATGATCCCTTAATCTCACTTTGTAGATTTGACCCTAGGTGGGTGGAGAGAGATTGGTGACCGATAAGTGGCAAAACTGAGGCTGAAACTCAGGGTTTCTGGCTGGATCCGGCTCCCTTCCATGGAGCAATGCATGTGGACACAGTCTGTGGGGGGTGGGGCAGAGCGGGGCGTGAGGTGGCAAAGCAGACAATTGCAGGTTTCGTGTGGTGATTTACTGCAGATTGGAGTGTTGCCTAGTATGTTTTTAGACTGGAGCCATGGGTTCCGGATGGCCCAACAGGCCTCTCCTAGAGGACGACTGGCCTGGAAGATGATGTCCGGACCATACCAAGGACCCCACAGAGCAGGGAACCAAAACCCCCTATCTCCAGGCTGCAGCTGGGTTATGCTTGGCCCCCAAAGTACCCTTTAAGATATGAATGTTTTTGCTAACATTTGAAGACTAGGAGAGTTTATGTAAGAATTGGTATTTCTGGAATCTCTTAAAAATGTGAAGATTGTACCAGGCTTGCTGTCCCTAGATTTAAGCAATGCTGTCCCCACCCCCACCCCAATCCCCAATGAGCCTTTGCTATGGCACTAACTTATTGTCTTGTCTGGCCTTTGTGATGTCACCTGAAGGTGCTGGGACTTTGGCTGTTGCTGAGAAAGTCTGTGACCGTTTAAAGGTCACAGATATAAATCAAGGGATCCAAGAACTCAGATGGGCAGAAGGTACATCTTTATTTTCAGTAAGGTCCACCAAACTGAGCATTCTTTTCATTGTGACAGTCAGCAGCAACCACAGTTGGAAGGGGAACCTGTGACTTTGTCTCCAGAAATCACTGACATTTTTACATCACATTAGAGTTTTTCACATAGCTCCAAATGCTGTTTATGCTCATCACCACTTTGAAATGGACCCTGGCTAGGTCTTTAACACTTTGTAAAGAGGTATACACTGGCCTGGCTTGGTGGCTCACACCTGTAATCTCTAAGAGACTTGGGAGGCTGAAGCAGGAGGATAGCAACTTCAAGGCCAGCCTCAGCAACTTAGTGAGACCCTATCTCAAAAAAAAAAAAAAAGAAGAGGTCTGGGGATGGAGCTAAGTGGTAGAACCCGTGGATTCAATCGGGAAAATGCAAGCAAAACTCCCATATATGTGGCAAACCTAGGTATTTTATTTTATGCATTTAATCTGAGAAAAGGTCCACAGGTTCCATGAGCCTGCCAAAGGGGTCCAAAGCACAAAGTGGACTCACATCTTCAAAATGAAGTAATAACAGTCCTTGGAGAGGGAAGGAACCTTGTAGGGAAGAGAGGCAGAAGCTGAGCTACCCTCCCCCATCGAGTCCCTCCCTGGTGGCTTCACTCTGGGCTCCAAGCCCAGGGCAGAGTTCTCCGAGGTCTCCCAGATCCCAGAGAGCACTTAGCCTATTGCAAGGAGCGGGAGGCCGGAGGCTGTGCTGCGGTTCTGTGTTTAGTGGCTTGAGCCTCCTCCACGATCGTTCCTCCTCTCCAGAGCAACCCCAGCGTGAACTTGGAGGGAGGAAGCCCAGATCCTGGCCCTAGCCACGCAGCCGGCGCCGCCTCCCCTTCTCTCACCCGCTGGGTTTGCCGAGCGCTGACTCATCATCAGACTCTCCCACCCAGCTGGGTGCACGCCCACGACGTGCCCTCCTTCTCGATTCTCCGCTGCTTCCTCCCAGGCTCTTCCCAGGCGCCTGCAAACCCACGCGCGTCTCCCGTGTCTTCGCTGCCCGGCCCCCTCCCAGCAACCATCCTCTTATTTCCCTGCCAGATCCGGAAATGTGTGGTCTCATTGCATTTCCTCCTGATCCTTGTGGCGCCCACTCAGCCTCCAGATCGCCCTCCAGCTCCCTGGCAGTCTACTGAAATGGCCCGGCTGAG